AAAATTAAAATTAAATATTATTACTGGAAAGGCTTACCTGTTAATATATAACTGAGACCATTTGAGTGCGAAGTATCTGCTACTTCAGCAATCTGATTAAGATCCCTTTGAAGAGTATGCCCCGTGCCCAGCAATCCTACCTAAGACAACATAAAAAGTGGGGGAAGGTTCCTCAAACTACATGCTATATTCAAATCCAACAGATTCTTAATCAATTAAAAATCTTGTAGATTAATTAAATAATAAAACTTAAAAGAGCCTCGCAAAAGCCATATCTAACTCACTCCATGCGAAGATACTTTTGATGCTTTTGACCATTTCAATTGATACTCATTCTTAAAAACAGAAGACCTACACAAACATTATGGACTTAATTCCCAAGGCCTTTAGAGCACCATATATTTCCCCCTTGGAGCAATCCTTTCCTGCTCTATGTAGTTTTCTTTCATAAGCAAAATATGCAATAATAAAAGATGTTGGTCATATTGGGATGTGGTTCTGGCAACACAATTATATATTAAGGTCACAAAATCAATCAATTTTATATAATGACTCTGTTTGGTTTGATTATTAATAAAAAAAAATAATCCTTTAATATTAAGAGCTTATTCACTTCAGCTGATTAAAAAAAAAAAGAAGAAGTTGATTCCTTCTATCAATGATAACTATAATTATTTTACAATCCATCACAAAATACACTATAAAACAACATTTTGTAACCTATAAGCTAATTAGCTTATAAGCAATTTATTATCTCAAGAAATTGAATCCTAAGAAAGTAATTTAATGTTTGAAATTTTGAAATTTCAAGTTAAAGATTTTAAATTCAAATTTTAAATTAAATGTGAAAAGATTTAAGAAAATGAGAAAACTATTCCTCTTATATAATCCATTATCAAATGTACCACAAAAATTATCTTAACAAATTGAAATCTTATAAATTAGCCTTCAAAATGACTTATAAATAATTTTTTTTAAAAAAAAGCTAGTGCTCTTAAGCTCTGCTTTGTTATACTATGAGTATTTTAAATATTCATTTTATGATTATAAATCATTTTCTATCTCTCAATCTTCTCTTTCGTTCCAAAAAAAAAAATTGTTAAATTCATTATTTTCCTTTTGTGTAGGCAAATAAAATTACTTTCCTTATTCCTTATCAAAGATTTTATTTTGCATATTTTTATTGGGCCTG